TGGCAAGGATACATTAGAATTGATGGACAATAAACTATTTAGAAACAGTGTTTACAGTATTAGGTCATCTTATTTTTGCTTTATCAAAGAAAATGTTTTATTATGGAAATTTTGAAACATAGCAGTGTTGAAGTTCATAGTGAACACCTGTATAGCAACCACCCAGATTCTGTTTATAATTACTATACTTGATTTATCATGTATTTATCCAGCCTTCAATCATCTTATTTGATGGTTTGAAAGACTTCTTCCTAAATAGTTAAACATGCATATTATTAACTACAGTTCAATATTTCCTGTTCTTTTTCTTTTTAGCTAAAATCTACATACAGTGACGTACACAAATTTTAAATGTACCATTGGATAAGTTCTGGCAGTTAGCGTATACTTCTGTGTAACTCAGATCCCCTACCAAATTATAGTATGTTAACATCATCTTGAAGTACCCTTGTGTTCCTTCTCAGTCCCCACCCCAACATCCCCAGAAGCAACAACTCTTGATAATTTTCTCCCACAGATTACTTTTGCTTGTTCTAGAATTTCATATGAATCAAATCTTACAATAAGCACATTTAAAATTTAACAAAAATTAAAAATTTTTTTTTAATGTTCATTATTGAGAGACAGAGAGACAGAGCATGAGTGGGTGAGGAGCAGAGAAAAAGGAAAACACAGAATCTGAAGCAGGCTCCAGGCTCTGAGCTCTCAGCACAGAGCCTGGCACAGGGCTCAAACTCACGACCTGCAAGATCATGACATGAGCCGAAGTCGGACGCTCAACTGACTGAGCCACCCAGTCACCCCTATAGGTTCTCAATTTTAAGCAGCATTTACAGATTCCTATAAAAGCTGGTGGCATAATTAAGAATTCATTTGAGCACATTTTTTAAAATGTTTTTTTATTTTAGAGAGAGAGAGCAAGCAGGGGAGGGGCAGAGAGAGAGGGAGACAGAGGATGCGAAGCAGGCCCCATGCTGTCAGCCCAGAGCCTGATGCGGGGCTCCAACTCACAAACCACGAGATCATGACGGGAGCTGAAGTCTGACGCTTAACTGACTGAGCCACCCAGGCGCCCCTGAGCACATTTTTAAGAGTTTAGATGGCCCATTAAATTAAAGAAACAGCATGTTCAAAGGTTTACCAAGATTGAGTTTTAATTTAGATTGGGCATGACAAATAAGTTTCAACTTTCATTGTAGGATTTGACTGGAGCTCTGTGTTAAGATTCTGAGGCTGAATGTGGGCATATAGAAGTGTTTAGTGGTGTATGCCATTGTCCCAGAAGGTAAGGAATTGTGGTACAAGAACCATATATTAGCTGTTCCTGAAAAATGGTTGGCAACTAACTAACTTACTTTTATACTGCAGCTTTTGTTTAGTTAGGGTCTTCTATTTTCTGGAACTCAACCTTACTGAGTTCATTCCGGTAATCACATATTGAATAATGTATAGAAATTAGAGGAGATAGTAAGTGATTGAATCCAGTAGCTGTGTGTGCATGTACTACTTGAGTTATTTACAGATAAACATTTGATTGCTGTGTATTTATGAATAGGGGAGTAGGTGAGGGTTGAAATACAGAGAAAGCAATAGTTCCTTGTCACATATCCCAGAGCATAATGTAAAAATCATAATTAAAAAAAAAATGTAAATTCAATCAAAAAAGTAATGTTATGTAGCCCTAGACCTATATTTCTATGAACTATTAGAACATTAATTTATTTTAAGATTCAAATAAAACATCAGAATTTGACATGTCAAGAGAAAAGGCTAAGGTATGTGCTACTTAGTGATTTTCCTTGCCTAGTGGTTTTTTGGAGGGAAATTAAATAAAGGACTTAAGTTTGCAAAAATATAATACAGCTTTCTTTTGCTTGCCAAGTAGGAATAAATCTCTCTTCAGGTAAATTTCCATCTCTCTGCAATAATTTCTCAATCTCCATAAGATGCCTAATACTGTGGTTTTAAGTGGTACTTTGAAAGAACACTAATGAATGCTCTTCTTTCTCACTCATTGTATTTTATTTTGTTCAGCAAGCGTGCAGTGTGCTGTACATGCTGCCCCAAGTGTCGTAATCATTAAGATGAGGAATAATAGGGATCCAGGGTTATTTAAATCCCAGCTCAGAACTTTGTGATATGTATAAATACCACGTATCATATACATTTATATAAATATTTGTATATTCATAATATATATAATAATTATAAACATTTATAAAGATATATTTATATGTTTTTAACTGGCATATTTGTCTCCCCCCATGTGTATGATCTTGATCCCATGTGGGGCTGTAGGCAGGGCCAGGCACACCTGGAATCCTACAGGTGGGAACTGAGGCTTGCTTTCCCCAGCTTGTTCTTGTCAGGGCCACATAGTGGTGCCTCGGTCCCATGGGTGCTATCCCTGTCTGCCCCACCTCCACTCCTTATAGTCCAAGTCGCATACAGCCAGGCTGTGTAGGGCCCGCATCCACCTCAGGGACAGAGCTTCGGGCTATTACGTGAATACCTATCAGAATGGTATGAAGACTAACTCAAACATATATGTGTGTGTGTGTGTGTGTGTGTGTGTGTGTGTATGTATATGTATATATATGTATACGTGTGCGTGTATATATATATATGTATATATATATATTTATATATATATTTTTTCCCTTAAGAAAGAGAAGGATGCAAGTGAGCAAGGGACAGAGAGAGAATCTCACGAGGAACAGAGAGAGAAGCAGAGCTCACCGGAAGCAGGGCTTGTCGTTTTTGTTGTTATTGTTTGTTTTGTTTTTACATCGGAAGCAGGGCTCATGCTTACCTGATGTGGGACTTGAACTCTCAAAAGGTGAGATCATGACCTGAGCTGAAGTCAGATGCTTAACCACTGAGCCACCCAGGCACCCTCTAATAATATTTTATTACTGTTTTTCAAAATTAAAATACTGAAAAAGAATACTTAGTAAAGGTTATTAAGGAAGAAGATGTGAGTGAATGGGGAAAGAGGCCAGAATTGTTAGGATTGTTTCTGTTAAGATTCAGTCTGAATGCATAAATGTAACTGTGAATGCATATTTCATTGTAGAATTTATTATTTTTCTAGTAATATTAGTTTGAAAACTCAACTTCATTTTTCTAATTATAAATGTAGTATATGCTAATCATAAAAAAGCAAATAATGCATTTACCTATAAAGTATATATAAAATATATAATAAAGAAATACACAGCATCCAGGTGGCTCAGTCAGTTAAGTGTCCAACTCTTGATTTTGGCTCGGGTCCTGATCTCATGCGCCTGACAGTGCAGCCTGCTTTGGATTCCCTCCCTCTCTCTCTGCCCCTCCCCTGCTCATATGCATACTCTCAAAATAAATGAAATAAATAATTAAAAGGAAAAAAGGGGTACCTGGGTGGCCCAGTCAGTTAGGCCTCTAACTCTTGGTTTCGGCTCAGGGCATGATCTCACAGTTCTGTGGGGTAGGATTCTCTCTTTCTCCCTCTATCTCTGCCCCTCTCCCACTTGCACTCTCTCAAAATAAATAAATAAACTAAAAAAAAAAATGAAAATATGATCCAAATGGAGAGTTAAATTGGGCAGTGGATAGTGTAAATTTGAATTACACTCTAAAAATAAAACACAGTAAAACCTTGGATTGCGAGTATCTTGTTCTGCGATTGTTCTGCAAGACGAGCAAACATTTCTAATAAATTTTAACCTGATCAATGAGTGATGCCTTACAATACAAGTAGTATGTGATGCCAAACATCACATGATCACAGCTGAGCCAGTGGTTCTTCTCTGTCTCTCTTCAATGTGGGATTGTGGGTGATCGTGTCCCATACTCAGATACTTGGTCTCAGGCCGCAGCGTTTGGCAGAAATCTGATTTTTCAGAATGTTGGAAGGTGCCCACAACTGGCATCCTACCATTGGATCCAACTGTTGCATTGTGAGCAACAACAAGAGGTTATGGAGGAGATCTCCTATGCAGAGGAGGAGGAAAAAAAGATGGAGGAATCCCCCACTTCAAATGAGATTAGGGAGATGTGTACAATGTGGGAAACTGCAAAATTTTGTAGAACAACACCACCAGAATACGGCTGTAGCAGTGTGAGGGATGAATCTGTTTAATGACAAAGCAACGTCACATTTCCACAAAAGCCTCAAAAGGAGGCAAAAGCAAGTATCATTGGATAGGTTCCTTGTTAAAGTTGCACAAAAAGAAAAAGATTCCATTGAGCCAGTAAATAGCAGTGATTCTGTTAGTGATAGTGCAAGTCGTCCTACACAATAACCCTCGTTTCTCTTATCTCCCTCACACCAGCCACAAAGGTTTTCAAAGGTAAGTACAGGTTAATTTGTTTATTTTTCTTTAAAAAAATTTTTTTTTAAACATTTATTTATTTTTGAGAGAGAGAGACAGATTGTGAGTGGGGGAGGGGCAGAGAGAGAGGGAGATACAGAATCCAAAGCAGGCTCCAGGCTCTGAGCTGTCAGCACAGAGCCCCATGTGGGACTTGAACTCACAAACGGTGAGATCAGGACCTGAGCTGAAGTTGGATGCTTAACCTACTGAGCCACTTAGATGCCCCTGTTTATTTTTCTTTATATGCTGTATTTTCTTTATTTTGTATTATAGTATTGTAATCATTTTTATATGAATGTTTTTGGGTTGTGGAACAAATTGAGTTCCCACTATTTCTGATGGGGAAATTCACTTGAATATACACATGCTTTGGATTACAAGCAAAATGTTTCCAGAACGAATTATGCTCACAAACCAAGGTTTTACTGTACGTTGCGTGAGAAAGTCCTATTTTTCACTTTTGAACAAGATAATTTTGCTACATACAGATATAAATTTTAGGTAGACTTTCTTGTTATGCTAACATAAAGGTATATTTACAGTTAGGTGAGCATAATCATTTGTTCTGTTACAACTGAAAGCTTGTTCTTTCCTAAAGCAGGTTTAGTTGAATGAGTGTATTAATAACTCTCATTGTTTCAGGTAGTCCAGCAGCCTTCAGGAGGTGTTGCAAAACAAGTGACCACACTTCCCCATTCCTCAGCATTGACCATTCAGAAATCTGGACAGAAGAAGATGCCAGTGAGCACTGCAATACCTGCCAGTCAGTTTCCTCCAGGTAGACCCCAACCCCCACCCCCGCATCCCTGGCCCCATCATGCTGGGTTTGGAACATGATGGGGTTTTGTGTTCTCTTTTTTATTTGTTATATTAAGAAAAGGTACTCTTTTAAAAGTAGGACCTAGGAGAGAGGACTGAAAAATCACTAGTACATTCTTTGTATATACATAGCTACTTTTTGGGGATATATATTTTAGAGTAGAAGAAGCAACTACTCATGGTATTTTGTAATTAAAATTTTTTTTTTTTTCAACGTTTATTTATTTTTGGGACAGAGAGAGACAGAGCATGAACGGGGGAGGGGCAGAGAGAGAGGGAGACACAGAATCGGAAACAGGCTCCAGGCTCTGAGCCATCAGCCCAGAGCCCGACGCGGGGCTCGAACTCACGGACCATGAGATCGTGACCTGGCTGAAGTCGGACGCCAACCGACTGCGCCACCCAGGCGCCCCGGTATTTTGTAATTAGATAAAACAATGTATTAGTGAATAAAGCACTTTTTTTAATTTACAAAAATTGCTATAGCTTTATTTCTTTTTGAAATGTACTTTTTCTACATTTGGAAATCAGTCTTAACACAAAAGAAGTTTCATGTATTTTTAAAATATGCAAATATAAATGATATATTAACATTTCTTGTCACTATTTATGCATATTTTCATAATGCTGGTAATCCTATAGGCTGAAGACTGTATGAAAAGAAATTTTGATTTTTCTAAGATGATTTCATGCAGTAAATTCATTGTCATTTTTGAGTTTAAACATAGTTCTAGGACAGCTTGAAATTTCTTTTGGTTATTCTGGGTATATTAAAAGCTGCTGTCCTGCATTTCTCCTAATATGGCATGACTGATTTTTTTAAAATTCTTTTTTCTTCTTTTGTTTTTATAGCTTCCATTTTAAAGCAAATTACCCTACCAGGAAATAAAATTCTGTCACTCCAAGCATCTCCTATTCAGAAAAATAAAGTAAAAGAGAATGGAATAACATCTTTCAGGTAAAGAAAATAGTTAAAATTTGGTCTGGTTTAAGGAAGTAGTATTAACAAAAAATGGCAGAATAGTACTTATAAAATAAATATCTTGATGCCTTTTTAAAAAGCCGACAGTACTTTATTGAGTATAATTTATAAACAAGTGTATAAATCTTAAGTGTATAGTTCAATGAATTTTGATAAATATACATGCTTGTATAATCAAGATGCTGAACATATCCTTTACCTTCATGCTATTTTCAAATCAATTACCTTCTAACCCTTGCCTCCAGCAACCTCTATTCTTTAATTTGTTTTTTAAAATTTAGAGAGAGAGAGAGAGAGAGAGTGCACGCACACACATGACCAGGGAAGGGGCAGAGAGAGAGGTAAGGGGCAGAGAGAGAGGGAAAGAGAAGCAGGCTCTGCACTGACAGCGCAGAGACCAACGAAGGGCTTGAACTCACAAACTGCAAGATCACGTACCTGAGCTGAAACCAAGAGTTGGGCACTTAATTGACTGAGCCACCCAGGCGCCCCCAGCAGCTGTTATTCTTATGTCCATCCCCACAGATCATTTTTGTTTATTCTTGAACTTCACATAAATGACAAATTGCATTAACCTTTTTGCATCTTTTTCCTCTCGGCATGTTTTTGAGATTCATCCATATCATTTTGAATATTAAAAGATTGTTCTTTTGTATTGGTGAGAAATAACCTTTATAGTCTCCTGTTGATGGACATTGGGCTGTTTCCAGTTTTTTTACAGTAATATGTAAAGTTGCTATAAACATTTATATACAGGGGCACCTGCATTAAAAAAAAATCACATTTATATACAGATTTTTATGTGAACATAGGTCTTCATTTCTTTGTAGTAAATATCTAGGAGTTTGATTGCTGGATCAGTAGGTGAGTGTGTGTTTATTTAAGAAACTACCGGGGCGCCTGGGTGGCTTGGTCGGTTAAGCCTCCGACTTTGGCTCAGGTCATGATCTCCCGGTCCGTGAGTTCAAGCCCCGCGTCAGGCTCTGTGCTGACAGCTCAGAGCCTGGAGCCTGTTTCAGATTCTGTGTCTCCCTCTCTCTCTCTGACCCTCCCCCCATTCATGCTCTGTCTCTGTCTCAAAAGTAAATAAAACATTAAAAAAAAAAAAAAAAAAAAAGAAACTACCAAACTGGGCCACTGGGTGGTTCAGTTGGTTAAGCGACTGACTTCAGATCATGATCTTATGTTTCATGAGTTTGAGCCGCACGTCGGGCTCTGTGTTGACAGCTTGGAGCCTGGAACCAGCTTTAGATTTTGTCTCCCTCTCTCTCTGCCCCTCCCCCTCTTGTGTGCATGCGCACGCACTCTCCAAAATAAATAAATATTAAAAAAAAAA